CGCCCCTCAGCGGACCCCTCTCCACCCCGTTCCCGCCAGCCCTTAAAGCGGCAAGCTCCTCCCGCGCTGCTCCCCTGCCCGTTTTCGCGCCGSGCCCGCCGTTGCCCCTTTAAGGTTACCGCGGCGACGGGCCCGGGCGAGAGCGAGGCGCATTGACGTCACGGCGGGCGGGGCCCGTCCGGCCGGTCGGTTTCCGGTGCCGCCGCTGCAGCGAGGCCGCGGCCGGGCCGGGACGGGCGGGGGGTCCCGGCGGAGCCGCCGCAGGTGAGCGGGGCGGGGAGAGCGGCCGGGCGATCCTCGGGGCGGTGGCGGGGCTGGGGGCGATGAGAACCGGGTGGGGCGGGCGCGGAGCGGGAGGCTGCGGCCTTGGGGCGGGGCCGGCCCGGCCCGGCCCGGCCGAGGGAGCGGGGCCGCGGCTCCGGGGCTGCAGCGGGGGCAGCGGCGCCTTCCTGGGCCAATGTCCGAGGGGTCGCCGCGGGCTGTGGGGCCGCGCCTGGCGGCGCTGCCGGGCCTTTGGGGCCGGTTGTGCCCCCTCAGCTCCGTGTCCCCCTCCCCGGGAGTACCGGGTCGGCGCTTCCCCGGTGGTCCCGTGTCTAAAGCGGCCGCAGCCCCTCCGCTGTGAGAGGGTTGGGCTGGGCTGGGCTGGGCGGGGCAGCCGCGCCCTTGAGGGGCTCAGGGAAGCACTGGGAATGTGCAAAAAAAAAAAAAAAAAGCCTCGTAGAAACACCGGAGTTTTCATTTTGCCCGTGATACCGCATTTCCTGCAGCGGTCTTGCCCTTCTCGCGTACGGCCCGTTCCGTGTACACGGAGTGTAATTTGCGGGCGGTCACGGAGCCCACGGGCTTCTCCGGGGCTGTTTAATAAGCKCTGACCTTCACCGTGCGAGCTGGCGAAACAAAAGGAGTGACTGGAGAACTTGYCGGCGCTTTCTCAGCCCGTGGGAAGGCCACGCTTTGTGTTTATGCAACGCGTAATAATACACGTGTGTTTGTGTGTGTGTGTGTGCTTGAGCAGGGATTAAGTGTGACAAGAGTGAAACCTGTCTGAAGTGTTGGTAATTCCATATTAACTCGAAGCCGTCTGTAATCTCCAGCAGCAGAATTYGGAGGGGCACGTGTTGTCTCTGTGCCCTGGGTTTTCCTGCTGCTGCCTCAGCAGGATAAAACCCATGATGTGACTTAAGTGCGTTGTCATTTCTCAGAATTATTTTRACTGAATCCCTTTTTTCCCTTTCAAAAGCTGAACCTGGGATCAACATATCTTACTGCATATTAATAAGCTGTTGCCACACTTCCTGTACCAGGTAACTTTCTTTATATTTCATCAAAAATGCCCTRAGAAATTCTTTCCTGGTTCTTTAACTCGCCTAGTGTTAGTTTTCTTATGGAAAATAAGAACATGAGATGTACATGTGTATACATACATGTAAAAAATATATTTTCAAATCGTTTTATAACCTTGTGGTGGGCTGAGCCAGACTAGATGCTAAGCACCCACCAGAGCTGCTCCATCRCTCAACAACAGAAGGAAAATATAATAAAAAGCTCCTGGAAAGGGAGTGATCACTCAGCACTTGCCATTATGGGCAAAACAGACTCAACTTGGAGAAATCAGTAATAAATKAAACTGATTAAATTTGAGTGGTATGATGAGAAATAAAGGCAAACCTTACAAACATCTTCCTGTCATCCTYGTTTCTTTCCAGCCTTAACTTTACTCCTGATTTTCTCTACCTCCCTCCCCCCAGGAGGATGGGGATTGCAGTCAGTTCAGGGCAGGACTCCTCACACCTTCCCCTGCTCCAGCATGGGGGTCCTTCAGTGGGTGTAGATGGATCTGTGCTCCCC